GATACGGAGAATCCCGGATCTGCGCACCTTCCGTCGCGCTCTCAAGACTTTTTTATTCCATCAAGCCGGCCTGGCCTAAATCTTTCCCCTTTAAAATGTAAATTTTAATTTGTTTTTAAAATTATTGGGTGTTTTTAATTTGTCTCGGCCAAATTGTTTAATTCGGTTTTATTCTGTTTTTAAATTTTGTATTTATGTGTTTTATTCTGTGGCTGTTCACCACCCTGAGTCCTTCGGGAGTAGGGCGGTATACAAATCCAATAAATGAAATGAAATGAAATGAAGTGTGTTTTATACTCCGAAAAGTACGGTATGTACAAATTATTATGATGGAGTCTACAGCTCACAACTTCTAGCTTCTCCTATAGTAGAAGTCACCAGCTCTACCCATCTGTCTTTAACAGTTCCCCAGTTAACTGTTTTAACCAAGTGGAACACAATGTCCATACATATGAGCCGAGGCACAGAAAATTAAACCTGCAGGGATATACCTTCCTTTGAGATGCTACCGTATCATTTGGATAAAAGGATGGAACTGGGATTGGTAATTGTTCTCCTTCTTTCCTTTGCATCACCTCTCAGCAGAACTGGAGCTATCTGGATTAAACAGAGCTTTTGGATCAGATTCATGCTTCGGTCTCAGCCAAAATGTCTTTTTACCCAGTTGAAACTTCTTTTATGATTTGGGCTTTTCCTTTCACATTCAAGCCTTCCAACAGCTGAGGGGGGGAAAAAGATTAGTGATCCCACGAGGGGATCAAAAATGTGCTCCTTACCCTTAGAGGTCAAGCAGAGGAAAACTCCCAACATCTCACAGACCCAAGAAGTGGTGGTTACAGAATGTTCCCAGGAGTGGCTGCTCCTGGTTTAATGCCAAGAATCAACAGAGGAAAACAAGTGGAAGCATCCAGTGGGTGAGAAGGAACAGGAAACACAACAAATGCAGAGCAAATTTCAGAAATAAGCCAGAAGTGAAGTTGATTCAAATTTCAGAACCTTCTCACCTCTTTTCAGAGACTAAGGTCATGCCCAGTGGTGAAATCCAAATTTTTTTACTACCAGTTCTGTGGGCATAGCTTGGTAGGCGTGGCAGGGGAAGGATACTGCAAAATCTCCATTCCCACCCCACTCCAGGGGAAGGATATTGCTAAATCTCCATCCCCACTCCACTCTGGGGCCAGCCAGAGGTGGTATTTGCTGGTTCTCCAAACTACTCAAAATTTCCGCTACCCGTTCTCCAAACTGCTCAAACGTTCTGCTACTGGTTCTCCATAACATGTCAGAACCTGCTGTATTTGACCCCTGGTCATGCCACACTTTACTAAGATCTTGGCCTATTTACAGTAATTCCTTTTAAAATAGGTGCTATTCACAAGAGAGAAAAATGTTGTGCTGAAATTTGATTTGGGTATTTTTCCCCTCTGCAAAGGTGGCATTCATTCTCGATGGCATCTTCCAAATTGTAGATTTAGAATCCCTGTGGCTGACCTTGTTTTCTGTCTTTTACAGCCTGAAATTTCATTGACCCTTCCCCACATTAAAAAAAAACAACAACAACAGTGGTAAATATTCCTTCTTCTGGGGTTTAATTGAGGCATGAGAAATTGGGAGACGCTGTAAAAGTCATTGTATGTGTATGGGAAGACAGCATAAGCCTACATATCTCTTGCTATCAAATAAATAAGTAATTGCAAAAACTCTTCCCTTCCCCCCCCCCTTAATCTCTTCATTGTGAATCTTTACTGATTTGGGTGGAATTGCTTTTTCATCAAATTGAAAAAGAACAGCTAGATGGGTCTTCAAAAAACTAAGTAGGACCAGTCCTGTTTAGCACTTGGGACAGGTGACCGCTATGAAATCCCAGGTCCAGCAGGCTAGACTGGAAAGCTGGAGAAAAACAACACAGAAAGCAAAAACAGGGAGCCACGTCCATATTACTGCCAAGACAACAGCATAGGGATGGGCATGAAGTCACTAAGAGTTGATCTTAACTCAGAACTTTCATTGGGGAAAAAAGGCAGAACTTTTCGGCATAGCCCTAGGAGGAAAAAAAAAATAAGTCGAGAGATACAGCCATTAACATTCTAATGACCAGTTTTTGGATGCTCATGAGATTGCATCCAACCTCACAGAAGAAACTCACCAGAAAGTTACTCTACATAAATTGGGAAATACTTTTTAGGTGCTTACCAAATCACTAAAAGTACAGGTAGTCTTCAACTTACGGTTTAGCCCAAAATTTCTGTTGCTAAGTGAGATGGTTGTTAAGTGAGCTGTGCCCCATTGTACAACCTTTCTTTGCCACATTTGTTAAGTGAATCGCTGCAGCTGTTAAATTAGTAACCCGGTTGTCAGTTGAATCTGGCTTCCCCATTGACTTTGCTTGTCAGGAGGTTGCAAAACACGGCATTAGGACACTGCAAACCCTCATAAATACGAGCCAGTTGCCAACCGCCAAGAATTTTGATCACGTGACCATGGAGATGTTACAACGGTCGTAAGTGTAAAAACCGGTCGTAAATTGCTTTTTTCAGTGCCGTTGTAACTTCGAACGGTCACTAAACAAATTGTTTTAAGTCAAGGACTACTTGTAGTAAAATCTTGCTCATGCAGTGATAACTTTCATCGTTTCAAGATGATGAAACTTATTCATTTGTGAGAATTTACTGTTTCAGTCTCCTAGCTAAGGCTGCCTGGTTAATGGTATTTCTACAAATTGATACTCTCTTATGTCTCAGGCTCAGCTCTTTCCATCACCTCTCCAAGAACAAAGACATTCTGAATCTAGCACACAAAAACTATTAAGGCTTTGTTACGACCCACCAAACTAATGGTGCTACTTCCAAGAATAATTTGAACCCCCTCAATATTGTGGGTTCCTATTTATCTTAGCATTTTCCGTTTACTGTACATAAATCTATCCTTTGCAAAAGCCAGATTAAATACGTTGCCATCAGATGTGCTAATTAGTAAATGTCAAAACATTTCCATTTCTCAAATATATTGTCCCTCTAATGGCATTGACCTTGAAACTGTGGATCATATTTTATTGCATAAGTTTTACAAAAGTTTTTGGCAGAGTATTATCTGGCCTAATTTTAAACTCAAGGCCAGGAAAGATATTGCTGAAGAATGTTTTACTCTGAGTTAAAAAACCTAAAATTAAAAGGATAACAGCCAAATGTTTAACTACAGCTATAAAAAACCTTTGCTAATAAATTAGCATATTTGAAATGATTTATGTAATATCTCTCTATGTATTTTATTTGTTAAACTGTGTTATCTTACATCAAACTTTTTAATAATATATGTACTTTGTTATTTGGGACTTTCAGCAATATAACTATAATTACAACAATAATAATGTGGCTGAACCCACTGAATATTGTGGTTTTTGCACAGATGAAATAATACTGTACTATTAAAAAAACCAACAAAAGAGAAGGTACTTTGGGAAAGTAATGTGGCTCCAGTACTAGTTTAAATGCTGAATTTTGGCAGATCAACAGATCTTAAGCACCTTGAATTTTGTAAAGAAATTGTTCTTTTCAATAAGGGTTATCCCAAGTCAGATGTGATCAAAACATTTCAGGATGAAAAATACAGGAAAATTACAAAACCTGGGATTTTGGGGCATCTATATATCTACGGTATCTATATAAATCTGTCTGTCTGTCTGTCAGTCATCTGTCCTTATAGAACCAATCTAACCAGCAACTTTGGGAGGCATGCAAAAATTGATTATGTGCCATCAAGTCATTTTTGATTCATAGCCACCTCACAAATTTTCTCTGTGCGGCTTGCAAAAAGAAATTAATAATAGCAAATATCTCAGCAATTTAAAAAGCCTCAAACAATAAAGGATGCAATCGCAACAAAATAATAGAAGAAAACAAGAGGAAACAGATTTGTATCTTTATTTATTCTCTTAGGCATGCTGAAATATTTTTTTTGGGGGGGGGCCTTCCTGAATGAAAGGAAAGTACAGGGTCAATCATGGTGGGGGTGGGCGAAGAGCATGTTGCATAAGTGGAAAGGTATAAAAAAGTTTATCTGCCATTCCAAGCTTCCTAGACCTGATGCTGGGAGGCATTTAGAAAAAGTCCTATTCACTGTTCAAATTGGATGGGCAGCCTTATGCTGGACAGGTGGTCCTGATGCTGCCAGCCAGGTGACACACAACGTAAGGCTTTGTAGATGATGATTTTGGCCTTGAAGCCAACTAATAAACCAGCATAGCAACAATAATACCAGTATACTGTTTTAGTCACTAGAAAAACAGGATATAAATTGTTGCACGATCATCTCCATTCCACCAGCAAAAGAAAGCTCAGAAGGTCGCCTCCTTTACCCTTCAATCACAGATTTCTGAAATCACCACCCATCCTTCGAAGAATACAAGGTTGCCAACCAGGCTCTTATTCCGGGTTGTTTTTTTTTTTTTCGGGGCTCCCCACAACCCAGTGAGGTCTTTTGACCGAGAATAATTCAAGGCTGTCCATCTGATAGCGATTTTGTGGCTACCCCTCCTTTTCCACTCCCTACTTCGCTCCGCTTTCGTTGTCGGCAGAAGCCACCCAAGAACAAGAGTCCCAACATTCTGAAACAGAACGTTCCCAAGTTCCCCGACGGAACGTTCCCACGTTCAAGATTCCAAATTAGAAAGTGGAAAGAAGGCGCCTCTTTTAGCTCACTTTGAACCGTAGCCGACGCCCCCAAAATGTACGTTCAAGCACCACCAGGGGAATTCCAGGGACCCCCCCTTTTTTTTTTTTGCTCCTTTAGGGCTGAGGCGGCTCAACTCAGAGGCAGCTTCTTAATTCCCCTGAGCCCCCCTTTTCCCCTTTTTCCTGGGAAGCGCGCCCCCCCCCGCCTTCTCTCAGGGCGCGGCGCCACACCTCCGCCAGGGCGCACGGAGAAGCGCCTCTCCAAAGCCGTCGCCGTGCGCTCAAAAGGCGCACCTGGCCGCGGCGGCACCCTCCCTGCCACCAGTTCCTCACCCGATTTCTGACTTCCGCAGACAAGCCGTAGCTGGGGCCCTTGTTGAATTGGTTGCTGCTCATCCTCTTCCGGAACAGGACGGAATCTCCAACGAAGGCGAGACGCGCTCAAGACCGTCTCAGCGGGCCGCCACTTTCAGCGCCTCCTTCTTCTTACCCGAAGTTTTGGGGCCAAGAGAGCGCCGCCTCCCTCTTACTGATTGGCCAGGAGTTGAAATAGCCTTATAAGGGCACAAAGAGCCGAATTCCTGAAGGATGGGGAGTTTCCTGTGTGGGTCTTTTTTCCAGAAACCCCAAGTGTCCTGGGCATCCCCCCTTCCCAATCTCAATTAAATCCAAGTGGTCAAGGCAGTTCTCCTTCCCCTCCCGTCGGTTCCCCGGTTTGGCCGCTTTTTCAACAGATGGGACGACAGGCAGAGATTCAACAGGTTTCTTTCAGTAAAACCGCGCTCTTTGGGATCCTAAACGCAGGATTTGGGCAGCTCGTTCCCCGTTTCGCCCCCCTCCCCCCGATCTCCTTGTCCTGCATCCCTACAAGCAACTCTCTTGACACAAGTTATTGCAAGAGTAACTGAAACATCATTTATTCAATCTGTCCAATTGACTGGCTTCACCCAACCCTGAGGACCAGAAACTAAGTATAATGGCTCAAACACAGCGCACTAGCTGTATTTGCACAATGCGCTGATATTACAGCTGGCATCTACATTTTAATCGGGTGTGTTGCGCACACCCAGCCCTTGGGTCTAGTAGTGCGTGGTTCTGTGGGTTATGCAAATCCAGAAACTTTAATGTGTTGAATAGACGTGATTGTATTATCATTGGTTGCACAACCAGCCAGATGTTTAGGCTACATTTGTCATTTTTAATCCATCTGTGGAGTCTTTCTCAAGGACCTGTGATAAGCAGCTGTTTCTAATGTTAAAAGTTACATCCTTGCATGATGAAGGCTATTCCAAGTAAAGTTGCCCTTGGCAATTGACGGATGGGGATTTTGTCAAGGCTGATGGTGTTTAAGTGGTGCTCGAGAAGATTTTTGTCATTGCGCTGTAGGAAGAAATATCCTTCTGGGTTCAGCTCCAAGTGGGGAAAAAGACACTGGAAACATGGAGACTGCTTGGAAAGATGGTTTAATGGTGGACAGGATTACATGGTTTGAGTTCCTGAAGAGAAAAAGGGGGAGATACAGCAAGTCCCCGGGTTTTATGCCCTTTGAACTTTGAACTTCCTGGGGCCCCGAAAGTTTTGAACTTCCTGGGGCCCCGAAAGAGTATCCTGATTGGTTGTCAGATTTCCAGGGGGTGGGGGGTCTTAGCTAGCTTTGCTGGCTGATGTAATCTTCCCAGGTGCTATGTGGTGAGTTTCTGTTGCTAGATGGGCCCTATTGTGTTGCAGATGATGATCCTTTGACAAAGGATTGAGTTTCTGCCTCTAGTCCATTAACAAAGGGTGGGGGCAGGAAGATGGAGCTGCTGCTTCTTTAAAACATGCTTCTCCATTTCTCATCCAGGGAAATATAATATTCTGCTTTTTTGATATTTCCCAAAATATTTCATTCCGCTAGGAAAGGGGTGGGTGCTAACTTCTTACATTACTATCCGTACAATCTTTCCTTTCTTATGCCACAGTTGACAATCTTTAAGAGAGGGGACTATGGAAGAAAGGCGATTCCTCAGGTAATCATGACTGGCTGAGGAATTCTGGGAGTTGAAGTCCACAAGTTTTAAAGTTGCCAAATTTGGAGACCAGTGGTGGGTTGCTCCCGGTTCTGTCCAGTTCTTTGGAACCAGTAGTAAAAGTGGTGGGAGGCTTCGCCCACCCGCCTGGACGTCATAATTGACAATCTGTGCATGCACAGAAGCGCATGCTCGCGATCGTGCTCCCATTGCAAACGGGTAGTAAAGGTAAGTAGAACCCACCCAGGTTGGAGACCCCTACCATAAAGGGCTAAGGGTTATGGTTAAGATTCCCATGTAAACCCAGCTACTAAGCCACAACTCATAGATCACACTTTTAAGTTTGCACTTGTTCTTCTGTTGATGTGCCCATGAACCTATCTTCCAATGTTTGGGCTTGTATTTATTTAAATGAATTTATCTCACCACAACTGTCTCACAAACATAACTCTGGAAGGCAACAGATTTGAAGCAGATTTACAGACCAACAAAGAAAGCAATAACCAAAAACAAAACCAACATAATGTGGCCACTGAGAAAGGTACCAACCACCAGAACTCTCATCTAGTATTTGACCAATATGCCTACGAAAATATCCAGGTCCTAAATGTTTTCTAAAAACAGGACTGTGCTCATTCATCTCGGGCGGGATGGTGTTCCAAAACACAAATATTGTGACAAGAAACTTCCTGGATCCTGCAAGATGGCCTTTTCTAATTAATGAGACCCATAGCCTGACCCTCCTGCCAGATCTGATGAGACAGGTAAAAGCAACTAGAGAAAGGTAGACCTCAATTAAACCAGTCCCACGCCATGTACCACTTTAAATTAATATTGATTCCCAGTGACTACAAGGACATGGCCATGCGGTTTTCTTGGTCAAAATTACAGAAGTGGTTTGCATTGCTTGCTTTCTAGGGCTGAAAAAAAATGGCCCAAAGCTGCTTAACTGAGTTCCTGCTTAAACCAGGATTCAAACCCAAGATCTTCTAGTTTATAACTCAGTGCCTTTAACTATAGGTAGTCCTTGACTTATGACCACAATTGAACCCAAACTTTCCATTGCTAAGCAAGGCACTTTTTAAATGAGTGTTATGACCTTCTTTGCACAGTTGTTAAACAAACTACTGCAGTTACTAACAGGGGTGTTGAGTGACTCTGGCTTCCGCACTGACTTTGCTTGTCAAAAGGTCGTAAAAAGGGTTCACATGACCCAGGGACACTGCAACCGTCATAAATACATGCCAGTTGCCAAGCTTCTGAATTTTGATCATGTGACCATGGGGATGCTTCAATAAGTAACTTTTTTCAGAACTGTTGTAACTTTGAACGAATAGTTATAAGTCAAGGACTACCTGTACTACACCAAATAAGCTTAAATATAAATATATATACTGTAAATATATACAGTATGCTAAAACATAAGCCATAAGTTACAAATCACAATTTATAGATTTCTACAATCTGATAAACCAAAATTAAGTAAACCACATTATAGTTTAAAACAATATAGAGCTACCAATCAAATAATTATAATTCTTAATATTAGTAAAGATTAAATAGTAATGTTAGTGGAAGTCAGATAAAATACACCCATACTGTACACACCCTTATTAAAAACTTTGTACTGTGAACTATTTAATGTAATTGTATTTATTTCAGGTCTTGGCTTGGAAACATAGCCCTTATCTCTTCGGGGAAGTGTGCGGCTCGCAAAATTCTTGAGGAAACAATATTGTATTTTAAACTTAAATTGTGGTTTTATGTAGTTTACTTTTTTGTATTTTGTTTTTTTTTTTATGTGCACCACCCAGAGTCACTATGCGAGATGGACGGGCTGTACAAATACAATACATGTATTTATTTATATCCCGCCTTTATTATAAATAAATCTTGCAAGAAGTGAACACCTTTTGGAAATTCCTGCAACTTAAAGATAAAAGATTATATTTGAAAGAATACGCATGTATGTGTAGATGATTATGCGTTCCTCAATTTTTTAGTCTGGGTTACAGTATCTTTGTCCTTCCATGGGAAATCTCTGGGAGCCGATTCCTAATTTGAGTCACTTTTGCGAGACCTTTCTTCTTCTCCTGTGTGATTTGCCTGCTTTAGATGCCACAACAGTGACATCATGTGGGTCAGGAATTCAAAGCCTCATGGTTGATGGGATGAGGTAATGGGGTGCAGCATGGAGGGGGCTGTCTGGTGAGGCTAAGGTTGCCTTCTTACACCGCTCACTGTTGCCTGAGGGAAAAAGTTTTTACGCAGCTTCTGAATTCTTAAGAAATGAATGTATTTCCTTACCTTGGTGTTCTGCAAATGTTTTCCACAGCCAGGGATGTCTTAACGATTCAGGAACAGGACAGGATTCAGACATGTTTCCCAACAATTAAACAAGGAAAGTTCTAGATGATGCATGCAGGAATTCAGCAAAGTTAATTTCAACACGTTCAAAGCAGTGTTAGACGGGATTACCTGGACGGAAATCATGAAGTCAAACGGAGCACAGAAAGGTTTGAAATGTCCCGTGCGCAGGTAGATTTCAATTGAACTACATGTTGAAACAAGGAAGGGGTAGCGGAAATGGCAGATAGCTATGATCCCTGAGTTGGTTTACCAGCGAGTGGTTGTTTTCTGCAAAAAACCAAGTCAGAAACTTAGGTTTTTGCAAGAGAAGCTAAAATCAATTTATTCAATTAATAGAAAATGAAAGAAAAAGGTAGGGGTGCAGGGGTGAAATCCAGCAGGTTCTGGAGAACCGGTAACGGAAATTTTGAGTAGTTCGGAGAACCGGCAAATACCTCCTCTGGCTAGCCCCAGAGTGGGGTGGGAATGGAGATTTTGCAGTATCCTTCCCTTGGAGTGGGGTGGGAATGGAGATTTTGCAGTATCCTTCCCCTGCCACGCCCACCAAGCCACGCCCACAGAACCGGTAGTAAAAAAATTTGGATTTCACCACTGGAGGAGTGGCTCCATTACTAGAAGATATTAGGGCAGGGGTCCCCAACCCCCAGTCCCTGGACCAGCATCAGGCCGAGGCATGCCAGAAACTGGGGCACACAAAGAAGCGAAGCCCCATCCGTGGGATAGAAGTGGTACATGAAACCACGCCCACTCCAGTCCACGAAAAAAACTTTCTCCATGGAACCAGTCCCTGGTGCCCAAAAGGTTGGGGGCCACTGTTACTAGGGTACTAACAGATCAGACATAGGTAGTCCTTGATTTATGACCACAATTGAGTCCAGAATTTGCTAGGCAAGACGGATGTTATGTAAGTTTTTGCTCCATTTTACAACCTTTCTTTGCCACAGTTGTTAAGGGAAACACTGCAGTTATTAAGTTAGTAAGATGGTTGTTAAAGTGAATCTGGCTCCCCTATTGACTTCGCTAGTCAGAAGACCTCGACCAACAACCGTTTGCTCAGCCACTGTTCAAAGCTACAACAGCACTGAAAAAAGGGATTTACGACAGGTCCTTG